AAAAACAAACAAACAAAACTATTTTTTTTCATAAACTCATAATTTTTAACGGTTAGATGTAAAAAAAACGGCATTAGCCTCTCATGAACAACACTATATTCCTGAAACGTTTTCGCTTTCGGATATTTGCGCAGAGCTACACAAGGACTATTTTCGCTAATCGTCCCTTATTTTGAACTGATAACCTAGAGGGAAGACAGCTAGTCGACAGCACACACCGTAAACTCTTGGGATTCACTTATCTGACAGAATAGTGGGATATGATATTCGCTCTTGTAAAGTACCCACCACCCGAAACTGCGGAAAGCTTTTTTTTTTCTTTTCTTTTTTTTTTTTTTTTGCACTAGCGGTTCGCGTAGATCTATAGTCTGTATCCCTGAAACTAAGTTAGTTTAACTCATATATGTAACTTTTTTTTTCACTGTTGTCCCTTTTTTACGGGTTTTTTTTTTCGACGCTGAGTTTACTTAACCTTAAAATTACCAGCAGGATCCATACTCCATCCATCAGCTTTTTAGACACGTTTTTTCTAAGCTTGTGAATCCATGACTTTGTAATTAAAGGATCTTTAATAACATACGAGTTTCACAAGACATCTCAGCAAAAATACAATCGGTATTGAGTTATGCAGGACATTTCAACAAAAAATACAATCAATAGTACACTTATCCAAACAAGTACTGTTGTGGACCCTATGTACTTTACATTAAAAAAATCATTGATTTCACCCAATGTTTTTGTGTAGCAACAGGCAAACATAAAATTACTCAATATGTGGACCGTACAGGTAGTGAATGGTATAAAAGCTAGTCTGTAATTTGTGGTTTTCCCTCCCTACCATTTCTAAAAAAAAAAGCAACGAATAAAGGAGAAGCCCTAAACTTTGTCGCAAAAAAAAAATTGAATCCCGGATATAATGTAACTGAGAGCAGTAGGCCATAAATTGTCGCGCAAGTAAAATTTTGAGTGCCAAAGAGATGAATATGACGTCAAATAACAACCAGTTTTCGTGGCTTTGAAAATATGTACCAAAAACCAACATTGTAACAAAAATAGCAACAGGAAATACACTGCTGCTGCAGTGAAACAATGAAAGGGTTAAAATATTACCATAATAGCACCTTTTTTGTGTTTCATATTTGTTTTTAGAATTCTATGGTGTGAACAAAGTTTTTTTTTTTTTTGTTCTATACTGAGCTCCTGGCCTCTTACATTTGGACAAACAATTAGGATTTTTTTTTTTATGTTGTTAGTCTTTACACTCATACATTCAGAATAGCTTTTGAACCTATATTGTTTTAGGTTTTATAGATTGTAATTTGTTCAAAACACTGTCTGATATTTGTTCACCGAACCTATTAGGTCGTCAAGAAAAAATCCGGATAAATTATAAATCAAATCAAAACATTTCTTTAATGAAATAGCCTCCATTCTTATCGATGATGCTTTTCCATCTTACAATCAGGTTGTTAGTGCCATGATTAAAGAAATCACTT